CCCTCCAGTCCACAGCCTGCAGCCTCGAGCAGCCTGCGGGGAGGGATGAAGGGCGCATCTAATGAGAGCTCCCTTTCTCACCATCGCTCTGTGACATGGGGCCTGCTCACTCAGCCTCTCTGGGCATCTCTATTTTGACCTGCACTGGTGGGGAGCTCTGGAAGGAGATTCCCTACAGTTTCTCTGAGACTTGGGGCCACTGGGACAGAGGGTGGATGTGAGTGGAAGGGTGTGAGGGAGGAGGAAAAGCAGGCATTCTCCTGACGAGTAGGAGAGAGGGATGGAGTCTAGCCAGTGGAAAGGACTGTTCCTGCAGCTCCACAGGAAGGAGAGCCCTGCTCAGCCCTGCTGCAGCTGCAGCTCCTGGGAGGCAGCCCTGACCGCTCCCCCTCAGCCCCCCCACCACTGGCCCCAGGCCACCCTCACACAGGAACTGAGATAGCATCATTCTGAAACCTGAGAATGGTTTGAATATTGCTCAGGTACCAAGAGGTGTTACACTGGGGAGGCAGGGGCCTGTTTCTTCTCCCATGCCCCCTCCAAACCAGTCCCCCTTTAGGGTACATTTTGCATATCATTTGTACCTCATTTGCAAACATGACCCTCAGGTTCCTACTGGGTCTATAGCTCAGCTTGGAAAAATGGCTGTGTGTTGGGGGGGGGGGGGCCTTCTGGATCCCCCATGGTCTTTGGTCCCCTCAGGTCCTCCTCCTTGTCAAGGGTGGGCCTCTTGCTCCGCATCCTCCCTGCTGTCCATTTGTGGAGCTTCTCACAACCACCCTTCTCCACAGACACTGGGTCTGTGCCTGCCTCTCTGAGGCTAGCCCAGCTGTCCTCTCCATTAGGAAAGCCATGCCTTGGGCCGGCCCGTGGCTCACTCGGGAGAGTGCGGTGCTGATAACACCAAGGCCCCGGGTTCGGATCCCACATAGGGATGGCCGGTTCGCTCACTGGCTGAGCGTGGTGCTGACAACACCAAGTCAAGGGTTAAGATCCCCTTACCGGTCATCTTTTAAAAAAAAAAAAAAAAAGGAAAGCCATGCCTCTATCTGCCCCTACCCCTCGCCACCCAAGCGGTCTGCCCTGCCCAACCCTGCCCTGTCCAGGGAGACAGAAGTGAATCAGAGTCAGGTAGCTGGAGCCTCCAAGGGATACTTTGGTGACACAGATGCTGTCAGCCCTAGGAGTCATAGCTGTAGCCTGAGGTCAGGATTGGGCAGGCATTGGAGCCATCAGAGCAGGAAGGCCATCTGGCACACCCCCTATCTCTTTGGCAGCCCACGTCCTCCCAAGCCCTGGGCTCCAGATACCAGGCAGAGCAAAGGAGAGAGGGTTAGCGGAGAAGCAGCCAAGGGCCAGGTTATGTGAGAGGGCTTCCTACAGGAGGAACAGGCAGGAAAGGAGAAGAGGAATGGGGCCAGGCCCAGGTGGGAGGAGAGGCTCACATCTGGAGAGCAGATGCCTAGGCCTGTGGCTCCTGGCATTTGGTTAGGTAATTAGGCAGAGGGCTAATTAAGAAGGTCCAGGTGTTCATTAAAATCTCCCTAATTTGTTAGGAGGAAAGCTTGGACAGGATAGGCCTCCACACCTTGGATAGGGTCAGTTTAGTCTCCTTTCTGACCACCTAGGCCCTAGCCACCCCTTCCAAAGTCACGGTTGAGTTCATGTTCTTGCCCCAGGGCTTTCAAAGACCCTGCAACAACGTAGAATGGATAGCAGAAGGAGAAAGAGGTTAGTACAGACTGAACCTGCTTTGTAGGAGGGCTCCTGGTTAGATAGGAGGAAGGACTACCCAAGGCAGGGACATCTCCTCTGCCAGTGTTGGTGCAGAGGTGGGAGCAGCAATGGGGAAAGGGCCCTGGGATGCTGGGAATTATAAAAGTACTTTGGATTACTTTGACAGGGAGAGGGGATAGATGGAGCCTGATCTTTTTAACCCTGACTTCTCTCTATCAGAGGATGCTCAGTGGGTCTCTGTGGATTCCCTGCCTTCTCAGCCCTGATCCCTCTCACATCCCAGCTCCCCCAGCATGAGGCGGGGGTGGGGGGGGGTGTAGGAGATCAGCCAGGGAGCTGGTTGCCAGGCGACAGTTGCCTAAGCAACCCCATCCTCTCTATCTCCATGTGCTCAGGGCTGCTCCTTAGAAGACTTTATAGAGTCTCACCCTCTGTACCAGCCAACCTGAGGGTGGGGAGGGTTGAGGACTGAGGTGGTAGGGGATGTTGGAGGGTGGATGGTGTCCAAAGGACAGTCTTCAGGAGCAGCTGGGAGAGGAAGGGTTCTAGCTGCACAGAGTAAGAGGAGTTGGTATGGCAGCAGGACTGACAGGTTAGACTGCAAGAAGGACTTCACAACAATAAAATAATCTCTTCTTCCTTTCAACAGACATTTCTTGAACTCCTTCTTACAAGTATAGAGTACTGTTCCTGCCCTCATGAAGCTTCAGTTTCATAGGGGAGCCAAGCATTAAATAGAAGTACAGAATTATAATTAGTTAAGTTATAATTAACTTGTGATAAGTGCTAGAAAGATTGCAAGAGTGACTTTTCTGAGGGTCATGAGAACAAAGAGGATTTTCTCCAACTTGGAGGAAAAAGCAGTATTGGCTGTAAGCTGATAGAGGTTACATCTCAGCAAGAATTTGCTAATGAACAAGAGGTGGTGAGAGAAAGATAATAAAATGGCGGAAAAAGGGAAGATAGACGCTGTAAGCCAGAGGAGTGCAGTAGTTACCAGTCTAGATTGGGGTTTTCAAGGCCAGGCCAGAGAATCTCATTTAAAAAGCCAGCTCATCAAAGCTCCACACCCCTTGCCCGCTGTGTGCCCTCTCCACCTTCCCTGCTAAGACCACACCACCATAACTCTAGGAAGAATGGACTTGGGCTTGCACTGGGAAGCAGACGAGCTGAAATCCTTGGGCTGGAGCCTTTGCAATGTGTGTCTGGCAGAGATTGGGGTCCCACGTGAGGAATGGGGTGGCTGGAGCTGGTTCTGGGCCTAGGTGTCTGCTGGGCAACTCAGGGCTGGATGGGCTGATGTTGATGTCATCCCAGGGTTGGGGGGTGGGGGAATACACAGAGGGAGAGGAGGAGAGCCATGGCCCATGGAGCACCTTGAGGACAAGGAGGAGAGGAAGTGGGGTGTTGGGATCCTTCTCTGGGAAGAGCAGGAGGGGTGAAAGTTCCTTCAACAAGCAGGGAGAGAGCTGTAATTATTTATATCTGGACAGAGCAGAAGCTCTCTTTCCATCTGGGCTGGGGAAAGCCTGAGGGGCAGTCGCGGTAATGGAGAAGATGGGGAGGGTTAGTCCTGGCTCCTCCCAAGTCCCCACCTTCCCTTCCCTCATTCCCTCCATGGCCAAGATGCCAAGGCTGAACTTTGGCATCTGTTGTGGTATCTAAGGGGCCATGTGGAATGGGGCTGGAAAAGCTGAGGGAAACTCAGCAACCATTGGCAGTGGCAGTCAGGGGTGTGGGAAGGGGTCCCTTTCATCAAACATCCCAGCAACAATTCTGCCTAGGTTGGGGGAGGGGGGAGGGCACATAGAGGCTGGGACTCACCTCCCTGGACTCTTCAATAGGGTCTCTGGGCAGGGTCTATATGGAAGGGAAACTGTGGAGGAGAGGGCTGGACTTCTCTGGTCTAGGCTCCTCCCAGGACCCAACTAGAGTGGCTTTAGAAAGCATGGGTCTGGGCCGGCCCGTGGCTCACTCAGGAGAGTGTGGTGCTGATAACACCAAGACAAGGGTTAAGATCCCCTTACCAGTCATCTTTAAAAAAAAAAAAAAGAAAGAAAGAAAGAAAAGAAAGCATGGGTCCCCTGCTCACTGCCCTTCTCCAGCATCTCCCAGTGGAATCACAGAGATGGAGGGTCCCTGAGGTCATCTCGTGCCTCCATCCCACCAAGGGCCTTCCAGTCCCCGAGGGCTCACTCAGCCTTTGTAGGCACAGCATCCCCCTGGCTGCCAGTGGCCTTGCCTGTTTTGTAGAGTTTTATTGGATCATAGCCACCGTCTTTCGTTTACGTGTTGCCGTCAGCTGCTTTCATGCTACAATGGCGGAGCTGAGTAGTTGCAACAGACTCTGTGGCTTGCAAAGCCTGAGATATTTACTATTTGGCCCTTTACAGAAGAAATTTGCTGACCTGTGGTCTAGAGGAGTGGTTCGTTTGTTTGTTTGTTTGTTTGTTTGCTTGTTTTAAGCAGCAGAGCACTTTCTTCAAACAAAACTTAGGCCGAGGCTGGCCGGTTTGCTCAGTTGGTTAGAGCTTGGTTTGAGCATGGTGTTGTAACACCAAGATCAGGGGTTCAGATCCCCATACTGGCCAGCCACCAAAAAAAAAAAAAAAAGAAAAACAAATTTAGGCCAAGGCCTACTGAGTAAAATGGATTGGTGTGGAAGTACTCTGGTTGAAGGGAGATAGGGGTTCTGCAGCCCAAGGCCCACTATGGGACTCCAGGTTCCAGGTTCCACGAGCCGGGAATGGGGACCACTGCTTTTTAAGTCAGGGCCTCAGAGAAAGCCCTTCCTGGCTTCATGTATGCCATGCTTGCTGTCTACTGATTGGGCAGGTGTTCACCCAGCATGCTTTCCACACCAGGCTCCAGAATGGGAACCACTCTTCTTAGGCCACTGGGCCAGCTGGAGAGCCCAGGTGTCTACTCCAAGCAAGCTTTGGGGAGAAGGAGCTTTGGGGCGTTTTCCAAGACACAGACCCTTAGAAACCAGGGAGCAGCACGTATTCTGTCTGATCTAGAGCGCGAGGGCAGCAACCACGTAGAAAGGGCCTGGACCAGCATCCTGGGCCCTGGTGTGAGTTCCAGCTTGTGCCTGGCTGTGGCATGCCATTGCCTCAGGTAGCCAGCATTGCTTCATCTTGAGGGTGGGGCTCAAACTCTGCCAGCCTCTTCCAGGGATGCTGTGAGCCTGGCCCACATCCCCAGGAGCAGGGCTGGGGGGTATGGGGGCTGACAGTCTTCTTATGACCCTCTCCTCCCAGGAGTCTGTGCAGAAGGTGTCCTGCAGACCATGAACTGAGCACTGGTCCCAGACCGTTCATGAGCACAGTGTAAGGTGTGCCAAGACCTGCTACCCAGCAAGCCCCTCCCCTCCCTAGCACTGAGGACCCCCAGAGAAGATGGGGAGGAAAAAGATTCAGATCCAGCGAATCACCGATGAGCGGAACCGACAGGTGAGGAAGTCCTAGAGCCACAGTGGGGTGAGGGCTGGGAACTGGCCTCTGCCTCTACTCCTTCCAGATAGTCCAAGAGGGCTTCCTGAAAGAGGGGAGACTGTAGAAGCTATTACAGAAGGGGAAGGGCTGAGTTGGGAGAAGAGGATTCCTCACCTCATTGCAGCTTTTAGAACCCTGTGTCCCAGGACTCCGAGGCCATTTGTTGCTGCAACCAGATGGACCTGTGCCCCCATACAGAAGCCATATGCAAGCCTTAGGCCATGCCCAGGCACTCCCTCTTTTCCAAAATGAATCCTTCCCCTCTTCTCACCCTAGGAAGCCCTTCTCTTCTTCCCCACTGACCGCTTCATAGCTCCCAGGACAGAGGTGTAGAGTTCTGTTCATCTAAATCCTCTCCCTTCATTGAATTGGCTCTGGTCTGTGTCTTGGCCATGTGTTGGCAGAGGGTGCTAGCCTGTTCCTTGACCAGGCCAGGGACTCCTGAGAGGAGGGGCTATGTCACCCTGAGAATGGAGGCTCCTGAGGATAGGGACTATACACAGCTCCTGTAGGCCAGGACTCCTGGGTAGGCCTTGACTTAGCCAGACCCGGCTGCCCATCCGCCCTCCTGCAGGTGACATTCACCAAGCGGAAGTTTGGGCTGATGAAGAAGGCTTACGAGCTGAGCGTGCTATGCGACTGCGAGATCGCACTTATCATCTTCAACCACTCCAACAAGCTGTTCCAGTATGCCAGCACTGACATGGACAAGGTGCTGCTCAAGTACACGGAATACAATGAGCCTCATGAGAGCCGTACCAACGCTGACATCATTGAGGTGGGCCCGTGCACACAGACACCACCCCTGTGTGCCTCCACATGGGCACGTGTCCATGCAGCCCATACACACAAACCTACCTGTGCACATGCATCTGTATACCTGCCCTTCGTAACCCCTCATCTATGCACACACACAAGTAAACCCACATGCTCTCACACAAACCCAGGGCCAGAGGAGAAAGGAAGGGCAGTACAGGTGAGCAGGCCCACACCTGGGCTGCCTAGCTGTTGGGTGGGGCTACTCTCTCTGAGAATCAGTCTTCATGTCTGTCAGGCATGACATAATACCTCTCTGCCCTGTCTTCTCTCCAGTTCTCTCTCTCTCTTTTTCTCTCTGTCTCTTTCCCCCTTTCTCCATCCTTTGGTCTGCTCCTGCATCTGACTCTTCCTTTTTTGTCTCCCTCTTTGTTTCCATCTCTCCTGCTCTGTCTCTGTTCCTTGTGGGTCCCTGTGGCTATATTTTCTGTTTCAAAGAGAGCCGACATTGTGAACTATTGAATTCCTTTGGAATTCAGCTGTGGCTTTTATTGGCCACGTGGCCTTGGACAGGTGGTTTGGCCTCCCTGAGCCTTGGTGTCCACCTCCACAAAATGGGGCCAGTGGCTGCTTTGAAGGGTGCTGTGTGAATTAAATGAAACAGCCCAGTTCCTGCTTGTCACACTGAGCTGCATATACCTGGGGGTACAGAACTTGTGCCCGTGCCCAGGAAGCCACAGGCCTACTCAGAGATTTGGAAGAATTTTTTTTTTTTTTTAAAGATGACTGGTAAGGGGATCTTAACCCTTGACTTGGTATTGTCAGCACACACTCTCCCAAGTGAGCCACGGGCCAGCCCTTGGAAAAAAATTTTTAATTTTTATGTTAGAGAAAACAGATTTACTCTAGACTAGAATGTAAAATTTACATTCATTTAAAAGACAAAGCAAGTCTCTGTAAAGATATTTTGAAAATGGAGAGGGCAGCTTTGGGAGCTGCTGCAGACCCACCAGGTGTGCCTCCACTTTTTTTGGTCACCACAGTGGGTATGTGTGACAAACTCTGTCCTCTGGGCAAGGACAGAGTCTGGAGTGGTACACAGTAGGAATTCAGTAAGGGCTAGTTCCCTCTTTGCTTTTCCACATCTCATTCTTCTCTTTCTGTGTCTCCATCTCTATTTCTCTCTCCTCCTTCTTCTCCTAAGCAGAGCCCAGGGACTGGGAAGGGCAAAGCCACCCTGACTACCTCCCCATGGGGAATGCTCAGTGCCTTCTGGCCAGGGCTCACCAAAAGGTGGTCAGGCAGGGGCTGGTCCAAGGTACCAGCTCCTCAGCTTCCCCTCCCCCTGTAGGTCCCCCTCCCTACCTTTCACCTTGGAAGCACATGTCTCCGTGCCAAGTGCACTCCCTGGGTTAGGCCCACCTCCAAGTGATCCCCATATTCTGATGCCTCCCCCAGCAAGCTGATCTTCACACAGTGCCCCAGGAGGCATTGTCAGTGGGGAGGGGAGGGTAACATTGAGGGAGGGGGCCGGGGAGATGCTGGAAACCCTGAGGAAGGAGGTTGGGGAAAAGTAGGGGGATCTTAGACAAGGGCTGGAAGGAACTCAGAGCAGGTGGGCAGGGGAGGACCCTCACCCCACTGATGGTAGTGGTGCGGTTACAGACCCTGAGGAAGAAGGGCTTCAACGGCTGCGACAGCCCAGAGCCCGACGGGGAGGACTCACTGGAACAGAGCCCCCTGCTGGAGGACAAGTACCGGCGCGCCAGCGAGGAGCTGGACGGGCTCTTCCGGCGCTACGGGGTGAGCCCCACTCACTCTCTCTCTGTCGGCTCCCCCTTCCGGCCCCTCCCCCCAGGCGCTGCACAAGAAGCACAGGGAATGTGAGAGCCCTGAGGTGGACGAGGTGTTTGCCCTGACCCCCCAGACGGAAGAGAAATATAAAAAGATAGACGAGGAGTTTGATAAAATGATGCAGAATTATAGACTGGCCGTGAGTAGTCGCATGGAGGAGAGCCTCCCTGTGGTGCATGGTGTGGCTTCGCGCCCGGCCCTCGGCTGCCTCTGATGGATGTCCTGCTCTGAGCCACGCTGGGGCTAGTAGTAACCACTGAGGAACTTCTGACCTTGGTCATGATAAACCTGTGACCCTTGCTGAGACTCATCTTGGATGAAGCATATCCAAAGTGGTCTGGAGTATCTCCCTCACCAGCAAGAAGTGTGTAGGTGACATGAGATCCTTAGAGGACAAGAAAGTAGAGTGTGCACTTTGTTCAGATCTTTTTGGGGGAGAGACCCCCTTGGGCCTGCTCTGATGCCCCAGCCTAAGACACTCAGTGTTGTTTAGGGGAAGCAGTACTGCTAATGGGTAAGCAGTGAGGTGGGTGTGAACTCCTCTGCAGCAGGCCAGATAGATGAGAGACTGCAAGTGAAATGATGCCCTGACCCATGGCGCAGGCCTTTAACAGCTGTGTGTGGGGATCTGGGTCTGTATTCAGGGCCTCTAACCTGCTCCCGGTGTGTCCTGCCTGGCTGAGGACTAACCCACCTCCACTAGGGGGTGTCCCTGGTCCTGTCTGCAGTGAGGAGAGCCTTGTTCTCATTCTCTGGGCCAGAGCTGGATCCTGAAGCATTCCCACCAATGTTCTTCCTTGGTGGGAGTGGCCTGCAGGACTCCAGGAGGGCCCAGGGCAGAGCTTGAGCTGCTGGCCTTAGGATGCACAGCCCAGAAACTAGAAGAGCCCTTATCTGCCCTCCCAGGCAAAGTGGGTCCAGGATAAGGGGCCGACCTGGCCTGACCCTGCCACTCCGTCTTTCTGTCTAGTCAGCTGTCCCGGCCCCCAACTTTGCCATGCCTGTCACGGTGCCCGTGTCCAATCAGAGCTCACTGCAGTTCAGCAATCCCAGCAGCTCCCTGGTCACTCCTTCCCTGGTGACATCATCCCTCACGGACCCACGGCTCCTGTCCCCCCAGCAGCCAGCACTGCAGAGGAACAGTGTGTCTCCCGGCCTGCCCCAGCGGCCAGCTAGTGCGGGTAAGTGAGCTGGTAGGTGGGTATGTGAGGTGGAAATGAGGTGTGGTGGCAGCTTTGGGACTCCATTTTCAACAAGGAGTATTTCCTTCACCCACCACAGCATTCCCATTTGTGTGGCTCCTGAGGGAAGGGACTATGACTCCTCCTGGGATCCCCTCTTCCTGTTCAGTCCCCAAGACTCAGTCTAGAAGGGGGAGTCCTGTTAGCTCATCATGGTTCTGTTTCTCCTCCAGGGGCCATGCTGGGGGGAGACCTCAACAGTGCTAATGGCGCCTGCCCTAGCCCTGTCGGTGAGTTCAGCTGTCTTTTTACCTGGGGATGGGGAGGTCTGCCTGCTCAGTGGCCTCAGGGGTCCAAGGACCAAGAAGGACCTACATTAGAGGAGAGGAGGATCCCAGGACCTGAATTAGAGTCAGAAGATTTTTAAGCCTATGGATTTTGTTGTCTGTAGCAGTGATTGGTATGGAGGATCAGCAGAGATATAGGCTCACAGAATTCTGGACAAACTGTAAAGATGGACCAACATTTCTAGTTGGAGGGGGAAGATCCAAGTCTTTCCAGTTGGGTGGCTATGGAGTATGAGAATGCTTGGCATTGCCTAGACAAACAGTAGGCACAGACTCACACACGCACTCACACTTGCGTTCAAACATACGTACATTCTCACTCCTATGGAAATATCCAGACCTTAGATGTGTACTTGTGAGCACACATCACATGCATAAGCCACTGAAGAAAGGCTGCTCCCCTGCACCTCCCCCCAACCCCTGGCAGCTGACAGCCCCTCCTGCCCTGAGCCGTTGTCCAGCTGGGTGACTGAGACTTCGAATGTCACCATTGACGTCACCCTGACATTCCTGCCATTCCCAAAGTGATCTGGGAATTGGGATGGAAGCAGCCACACACTTCCAGGACAACAGTGTGCTCTTAGGGGACAGAGCAAGGTGGCATTTTTGACTGTGGTCACTCCCACATCCTTGGACCTCAGAATCCCCTAGCTCAGCCTCAGTCACCATATAATACCTCCCCAGCAATAATTGTGTGTTGGGGTCAGGAAATTGGGAGAATTGGTGAATACCCCTACCTCTCCAAGCAGAAGGCCAGAGAAGTGCTTGCAGACCTTAAGGAAATATTAGTACTTGTAGGCCCTCAAGTCCAGCATGTGGAAAGTTGGTGAGAGCCCTGGCTTGGCCTCCAGCCAGCTGTGTGGCCCTGGTCAAGTTATTACACCTCTCCCAACCAGGCTCAAGTTTCCTCTTCTGTAAACAGGACTAATGATACGTGTCCTGTCCATCCTACAGGGTTAATGTGAGGATTAAATGAGATAATGTGTGTGGAAGGTCTGTGTAGATTGTGGAGTGGGACCAAATGTAAAAGATAGTTATTATGCTTATTATTACCAGGCTAATTGTGGTGGTGGCTGTGCTATCAGTCACCAATGCCAATAACTCCATTACCACCAGCGAATGGCTTGTCTCCCCCAAGTTGTGAACAACTTGTCATGTACTGATGCAAATCACAGCATCCCAGCTCATGGCAGAGGGAGCAGTCTGAGTGGTTGGTAGTTTGCCCTGGTGATCAGGCTTCTCACTGAGACCCAGATTCCAGACTGCTACCCCTTCCCTGTCCTGGTCATTGTGGGTCCTGTCTGGGGCAGATTGTGGGATCTGAAAGAACTGGACTTGTTCCCTGTGGAGAACAAAGAAGAGAAAACATGGGGAGAAGCTTGTTGCAGAAGAACCTCTTGGCCATTGCGGGGGCCAGAGGCATTGGTTGCTTTCCAGTTCTTCCCACCAACCTCAGAGCTCCCCCCACCACCTACCACATCACATGCATCTTGGAGGCAGGGGAACAAACCCAATGATTAGTAAGGGGTACTGTCCTCTCCTTATTCCTGAGACAGGAAGGTTTTAGGTAATATGAGATAGCTCAGCACCCACTCAAAACCTTATCATGGCTTTGAGAGGTTCTGGGTGACAGTACTGGCATACTGGCATGGGGAAGTTAACAAGGCTGAGGATTAGGGTAGGCCCGTGTTTCGCCTTTTACCCTCATCTTGTCACTTCTCCAGGGAATGGCTATGTCAGTGCTCGGGCTTCCCCTGGCCTCCTCCCTGTGGCCAATGGCAACAGCCTAAACAAGGTCATCCCTGCCAAGTCTCCACCCCCGCCTACCCACAGCGCCCAGCTTGGAGCTCCCAGCCGCAAGCCCGACCTGCGGGTCATCACTTCCCAGGGAGGAAAAGGGTTAATGCATCACTTGGTGAGTAGGTATCTGGGCCAAGGGCAGGGGCTGGGGAATGGGAGAGCAGGGAGAGGGGAAATAGCAGACATCTAGCAGGAGAGATGAAGGTTAGCCAGCAGTCAGAACATCCCAAGAGGGACCATGGAAGCATGGCTTTTCATGAGCTTGCTCCTCCCAGCAGGCCTTTTAAGAGGTTGGAACACAGAAATACCAGCCTAAGGGCAGTGAAAAGGGACAGGAGGTAGGAGGGAAGGTCCTATGATGGGGGATAATAGAAAGGATTTGCCATTTCAGCAGGAAGGATGGGGATTAGATTATGAGGATCTTCTAACTGATTGGGGATGTAGCATCTTCTGTAAATTAGGACAGTGCAGAGCTCTCTGTCCGTCTAGGCTGGGCAGAGCCATCCTGCTCTTAGGCAGAGGGTGGATGGAATGGCTATGGGGATGGAAGTGTGGGGAGATGGCAGGGTCCAGAGACTGAATCATCCCCTTGGTTTTATTTCTGCTCTCAGACTGAGGACCATTTAGATCTGGTAAGTGAGGCTGTGAGATGTTTGCTGTGGCTTTGAATTCCGGGTCAGCCCTTTCTCTGTGTTCCCCAGCATGAAGTGTGTGTGTGTCCTTGCTGTTTCGCCTATGTGTGTAGTGGTGTTGTTTATTTGGTTATTTGCCAGGGGCTGTGCTCAGTGCCATGCGGAATACAGAGGTGAAGAGGGTGAGAGTGAGGGGATTGACATGCATGTGTGCATACCTGTGTACATGGATGTCTTTATGTGATGTTATATTTATTCAGACACAACTTCCTGTGTGCGTGTATATATGTGTATGTGTATGTGTCAAGGGGAGTGGGCCAGCCCCAGGCCTCAGAGGTCCCAACCCTGACATCTAGTTTAGGCCCTTGGACCAGAGGGCTGGATCCCACTAGCCCTCTGACTCCACTCAGGCCCACAGGGCATTCTTGGAACCCAGGACAGGGACCTCCTTAGGAGGAATGCGTGCTAGACAGTAAAGTCGGTTTTCCAGGGGAAGCTGAGGCCCAAGCCAAGGCCAGAGTTGTCTTTCTTACTGGGGGGCTTCCCTGCTTCCCTCTGTCTCCTTATGCTCCCTCCTACACTCAGCCCGTCTCACAGGCACACAGCCGCCCCACCCCCCCGACACTTACATACTCATCCTCAGCCAGGAGTGGGGCGGGGGCTCCTCCCTTCCCAACTCCCTGATGGGAGGCCAGAGAGGCTGGAAAAGGCAGGCAGGCTTTGGCGGCCAACACGGCGGCAGTTTCGGCCCCAGCGTGGAGTTGGAATAAACAAGTGACTCAGAGGCAGATGGAGCTGACAGCCCCACACACGTGTGTGCGTACATGCAGGCACACGCCATGCCAGGCCCCGCGTTCCCCTCACAGATGCCAGCATGCTTCTACCAGGGCGTGTGCTGCAGTGAGGTGGGTGGAGAGTGGACTGTGGAGGGACTAGCCAGGAAAAGAAGAATAATGTCTCTCCCTTCTCTCACTCTGCCCCAGGAGACTGGGCCCGGTGTTTGGCCACAGGGCCAACATACACGCCTTTCTCTTTGCATGTGTGTAAGTGTGAATGAATCTGTGTGTGCATGTATTTCTCCATGGATCTTAGTGTACCTGTGAATGCACCAGCATATGTGTATCCACATGGGCCTCCATGCTAAGGCACCCCACCTTGGCCTTGTGATTCAGGGTCCCCAGCTTGGCCTTGGAATGGAGGGCCAACATAAGGCAAGCCCACCCATCAGCCACCTCCTGATACAGTTTTCTCCTGCAGAACAATGCCCAGCGCCTTGGTGTCTCCCAGTCTACCCACTCTCTCACCACCCCAGTGGTTTCCGTGGCAACACCAAGTTTACTCAGCCAGGGCCTCCCCTTCTCTTCCATGCCCACTGCCTACAACACAGGTGAGTGTTCTTGTGACGTCCACATGTCTGCACTTGGGCTTGGGGCAAGTGAGTGACCAGAGAGGGGACATTAGATATGCCCTGGGGAGGCCCCAATCTGAGGAAGGTTATTGATTTGGGGGAGCCCCTACTTAATTAATTAATTATGGTTGCCAGATTTAGCAAACAAAAACATAGAATGCCCAGTTAAATTTGAATTTCAGATAAAACAATGCACAATTTTTTAGCATATGCATGTCTTTGGGACACACTTTAGTAGAAGAATGTCTTTGGGATATGCTTACACTTAAAAATTACTCGTTTTATCTGAAATTCAAATTTAACTGGGCATCCTTTATTTTTAATATGGGACCTAATGGAGGAGGGAAGCTCCATCCTCAGGAAGCCTCCAGTTTGAGGAGGAGGTGAGACAGAGGTGGGCTGAGCAGATGATTCAGGCTGAAGGAGTAGGGAGGGAGACATGTCAGGTCACAAAGGCTTCCTGGAGGAGAATAAAGGAATGAAGGAGGAAGAGACGGGGAGACTGAGGAGGCCAGAGATTCATGGTCAGGGCTGATTTGCCAGCTCCCTGGGAAAGCCAGGTAGGGCCTCCAGGGCAGGAGGGGGAGGAAGGGGGTCTCTTCCCCCTGATGTTGGCTTGGTGGCAGAATGATAAGGGGGCAAGGAAGGAGGAAGACTGATAATGGCTGGAGAGGGGGATCTGAAGGTGAAGAATCACTTGAAGACATGGGAGAGGTCTCTGGGTAGAATTCAGAAAGGACACCCAGTGCCTAGCTGTCCTGGGTCCCTAGGGCTGTCCTGGCCTATGTCATCCACTCACAGCCACCTGGGAACAGTCTGTGACACTTCCAGCCATTCTTGTCCACACTTCAAGCTGCTGTGTCAGGAAGAACTTTACTAGGGGAAATGCCTTGTCACCTTGTTTCAGAGCATTTGTGTAACTGGCGAACCTGGGCTATTTCCAGCTAAAGAGATCTCTGCCTTCCCCAGGTTCTCTCACATGTGAGTAGCTTATGTTAAGGCTATTCCTGTGATGCAATCAGACTAGACAAGAAAACCCCTAAAATTTCTCCCCCTCCCCACATGCCCATCCCAGAGTTGAACCATGTGTGTGATACCAGACACCAGTACAAATACTCACAAAATCCCACCTCCTCCCCACATGTAAAAATTCAGACCCCAGCCTGTGCAGGTATGAGAGCCCGGAGAACTCCCTCATATTAAGTGACCAGTTTCTGGCATGTGTTTTGTGTATACATTCTAATCAGGTGTCCATAAAACCCTTGTCCCTTGCTCATGTGCTACATGTGGACTCACTCCAGGTTATTAGGTCCTTGCAGCTTCAGCAAGGACTGCTCCAGAAGGGACACGCTGTGGGCCATGCTCCTCATCTGTAAGAGGAGTGGGTGGACAGAAGTTCTCTGGGGCTCCTTTAGCCCTACCACTGGGGCTCTGGGGCCAACTGGAAAAGCCATCTCCCTGTGGGCAGGGCAGGCTGGGGACGCTTGGCCGAGGGCAGCTCAGACCGCTTTTCTGGAGCTGTTGTTAGTTTGGGAATCCCATGGTGGTGGTTTTCTGCCATCTTCTTGAGTACCCGCAGTCTTTGTGAAGCAGGAGGGAGGTTAGTTGGTGTCAGTGAACCTGGAACAGGCTCTCAGCAAGGCCAGACTTACAAACTCTTATTTGTCCCTCTGATGTGAAAGCAGTTTCTGCCCCTGGGCTTGCCCTTGGAGTCCTTTTGGGAAGTGTGTGGGATTTCTCACATCCTCTCAGAAACAAGGGGCTCCAATCACTCTTGCTGCAGGAATAGCTAAGCAGACCTCAGTTTAAACAGGTGTTTTCAGGTGACCCTAGGTATATAAACAAAACCCCAAGGAACACATTGCTGTTTACAGTCCTTGGCCCCAGTTCCGATTCCAGCTGGGGGTGATCTGGCTATGGGAATGTCCTGTGTAAGGGACAGGCCTGGCCACTGTTGGCACTGGCAACAGAGGTTTGGCTGTAGTGGCTCAGGGAACAGACTGAGTGGGCTGCCAAATGGCCGGGGGGCTGTGCTCCTCCTGGCCCTGGGGAGCCAGGCCTCCCAGTAGATAGGGCTGGAGTCTGGTGGGACCGTGGAGAACTGGGAGTTGTGTCTATCATTCACTCATGGAGGGACCTTGGGAAAGGTGCTGCTACACTGTTCTGGGCTTGGCTTCCTTGTTTGTAAATCAAGTGTTGGAGATAGTTGATCCCAGAGCCCATTTCTGCCCTTGTTCTGCTTTTTATAAATATAAGCATCTCAAAACTCCTGGCCAGCATTACAAGACCAGAGTTAAGTGTGGATCAACTGTAGAGTGAGATTTAAAGGTAATAAAGAGTCCTGGGTTCTTATTTTAGCTCTGCCACTGGCTTTCTCCATGGCCTGGAGCAAGTTTCTCAGACTTGAGGCTGTGGATGCCTCATTTGTAAAGTAGTGATAGGTCAGTTTTTTAAATATATACTATTAGCCAGACACTGTTCTACATGCTTTCTGTGTATTAACTCACTCAGTCCTCACAACAGCTGTGCAGTGCAGATAGGATTCCTGCCTCAAGTTTATAGGCAGAGAGTAAGTAACTTGCCCAAGGTCACACAGCCCATAAGCAGAGGTAGCAAGGAACTTTGACCTCATATCTTAAGCCTTTAACCTTATTGCTATATGGCAAAGACAATATGATCTTCCCTGCATAAAAGCAGAGTGCTGGAGCAGATGACCCCCTGAGTAATAGCATAGTGGATGGTGCTGGGATGATTGGGGGATGTGCTCCCCAACACAGCATGCCTTCCCACTCTTACAATGCCACCTCACTATGATCCTCAGGGAAGACATTTTATAAACTCCCAAACAGGTTGCAACATGAAACAATAGCATGGTTCTATTTGTCCTGTGACAGTACAGATGTCACAGTTTCTTCATTAGGACAGACATTTTAGAAAATAATGAGCAGCTTCTCATGGGGAAATCCTTGCAGCCTCTCTGCTCCATGAGGTGAGGACTGGGTGGCAAACATGCATCCTTTGTGTTTATGTGCATAGGCACAATGGCTCAAATCCCTGCTGCCACCTATTTTATGGATTGACAGTCTGTAGGAGACTCAGGGCCTGTGTGCAAGGTGGTCACAGTGGTTTGCTTCTGAGGCACCATTTGTCTGGCTTGTACCATGGCTCCCCAGTACCTCAGGAAGGCCATTGGAGACATGGCAGGTGAAGTGATGACAGTTGAACATGTATTAGATCTTCTCTACTTATCTTTTCCCCTCCTTTTTCTTTCTTTTTAATTGTCATTACCTATACATGATTTTTTAAAAGTTTAATACTGTTTTTAAAAAATCACCTCTTTTTGGGCCGGCCCGTGGCTCACTCGGGAGAGTGTGGTGCTGATAACACCAAGGCCATGGGTTCGGATCCCATATAGGGATGGCCGGTTACTCACTGGGTGAGCGTGGTGCTGACAACACCAAGTCAAGGGTTAAGATCCGCTTACCGGTCATCTTTTAAAAAAAAAAAAAAAAAAATCACCTCTTTTCATCCTGTTAAAAAACAGCACTTCAAGGGCCAGCCCGTGGCTCACTCGGGAAAGCGTGGTGCTGACAACACCAAGGCCATGGGTTCGGATCCTATATAGGGATGGCCGGTTCGCTCACTGGCTGAGCGTGGTGCTGACAACACCAAGGCCATGGGTTCGGATCCTATATAGGGATGGCCGGTTCGCTCACTGGCTGAGCGTGGTGCTGACAACACCAAGCCAAGGGTTGAGATCCCCTTACCGGTCATCTTTCAAAAACAACAACAAAAAAAACCCCCAGCACTTCATGGTTATTATGACTTGAAATTCTTTAACTCTGAGTGCCATCTCCAAATTTTTATGCTTTTCTTGAATTCTTCACATCTATCATTAAACACCACCTGTCCCCTCATCACCCTGGTCCTCTGGGAGGTGGCTGCCCATGGGAGCCTGGTGCCCTCTCCCCCACTGTAGACTCATCTCACTTTTTCTCCTGAGCAGATTACCAGTTGACCAGTGCAGAGCTCTCCTCCTTACCAGCCTTCAGTTCACCTGGGGGGCTGTCACTAGGCAATGTCACCGCCTGGCAACAGCCACAACAGCCCCAGCAGCCGCAACAGCCACAGCCTCCACAGCAACAGCCACAGCCACAGCAGCCACAGCAGCCGCAGCAGCCACAACAGCCACCTCAGCAACAGCCCCACCTGGTCCCCGTATCTCTCAGCAACCTCATGTGAGTCCTTGGGAGATTTTCCATGGGAATGTTTGAGAAGGGAGAGTTGAGGAGCAGGAAGAGGAGGGTCCTCTTGAGAGCTGGGTTCCCTTCAGGGTTGTCTGTCATTAGTGGACATCATGTGAGGCTGTGCACTGCATAAGTGGCAGTCCTGGAATCCCCTGTACAAGCTAGGAGACTCACCCTGAGCCCCTTCCCCCAGCCAGCCCTGGGGTGGGGGGCCTGGGCTGCAGATAACATGGGATGGAAGGAGAACTAATACTTATTTCCCTTCTCTCTCTTCATTTGACCCCTCTCTTCTGTTCACTCTCTCCATCCACTGGTCTCTCCCTCGTCCCCACTTGCCTCCCATCCCCATATTCTCATTCTCTGCTCTCCCTCACTCTCTGTCTTGTGACCTGCTATCACTTTTTCTGTCACTCACCCCTCCTTTTCTGTCCCCTGTGCCCCATCCCTGTTGCCTACCTCCAGCCCGGGCAGCCCCCTGCCCCACGTGGGTGCTGCCCTCACAGTCACCACCCACCCCCACATCAGCATCAAGTCGGAACCAGTGTCCCCAAGCCGGGAGCGCAGCCCTGCGCCTCCCCCTCCAGCTGTGTTCCCAACTGCCCGCCCTGAGCCTGGCGACAGTCTCAGCAGCCCGGCTGGGGGATCCTATGAGACAGGGGACCGGGATGATGGACGGGGGGACTTCGGGCCCACACTGGGCCTGCTGCGCCCGGCCCCAGAGCCTGAGGCTGAGGGTTCAGCTGTGAAGAGGATGCGGCTCGATACCTGGGTACTGTAGCATCACCCCTCCTGTCCTCCAGTGTCTGCTACACCCAGGGACTGCCCCTTGTGCCCCCCAACTTGTTTTAACTCCTACCCGAGAGGCCTTGTGGCCAACTAGCCCTTCCACCAGCCCTTGTGGGGCAGCACCAATACCCCTGTCCCCCCACCAAAGGCCCATCTCCTTCCCTGTATCCAGCATCAGCCTGTCTGCTTGATGGCTTCTGCCCCTCACAGCTGGCCCTGCCACTAGAATCCCGGCCCTATGGGGAGAGGGGAGTGGAGGGTACATGCCTGCAGCCTGGGCCACCCCCTCACACCCCATTCTCCATCTCCTCTCTTCACAGACATTAAAGTGACGATCCCCACTCCCCTCCTCTCAGCCTCCCTGATGAAGAGTTGACAATCTCACCGCCCACCCCTCCCTGTCCTGGGCTCCTCCCGCTCGACCCCCACTTCCTTTCTCGTGCTCCGTGTCCTGTTGACGGTTACATTTGTGTATAATTATTATTATATTATTATTATTATTATATATTTTTAAATTTGGATTCTCGCTTTGGAGAGGGGGATGCTCTCATCCCCTCTTTCTACACCCCCCACCATTTTCACTGGCTGGGGGGCTCTCTCTTTTGCGGGAAGGGGGGGACACTTTGCACGTTGTACACATATGCTGCAAGAAGGGGGTGGGGGGCCCGATAGGCCTTTGGGAAAGGACAGGTGCCGAGCCCTGCATGTGGAGCCCTCCCACTCCATCCCCCAGAAAGAGGGAATTAACCAAAAAAACTACCAAACAACAAAAAACCCATACAATAGACTGAAACCCCAAAGTTAGCTTGATGGGTGAGTTTGTGTTTCAAGGGGAAAGTGAAGCAGAGATTCTGAAAAGGGTCTCTGCTTCTGGGCTGTTCATGTGGCCATAGGCAGATGGGGATGAATACCCAAGCCTGGCCCCCAAATCCCCCTGCACACACACATAACACACTCTCACCAATTCATGTGGGTGCTGGCTGAGCTTTTGGGCTATGAAGGTGTCTGGGAATCTGAGGCTGGGGGTGGGGATTTGAGGTGGGGGCCTCTCTGAAAGCACATTTGGAGGGAAAGACAGAGCCATGAGGAGAGGGCTGAGGAGGGCAGGAGGGCTGGGCAAGGGGTGAATTGGGCCCCCTCCCTTCCCCAGCTTTTTTCTAAGATATACAGTGCAATAGCTCCCCATCCCTCAGTTGACACCAGCCCCGTAAAGCTGGCCACAACGTGCAGGGGGAACTGGGGAGAGGAATTTTAATGGGGTGGCTCCAAGCGAGAGTCGGCCTTGGCCTTCCCTAGGGTGCCTGAGGGCCAGAGCCCTTTCATGGGACAAGTGTCGAGTATGGTGAAGGGACTTCCTCTGCCTTGCACGCACTCTACCCAGAGGAGTGGGCACTGGGCTGGTCTGTGGGGCGGGAGGTCCCTATGGATGAGGGGATGTGGTCCGTAAAGGGCCAGCCTCCCGAATTCCTCCCCAGCCCCTCCTCCTAGCTCCTCCTGCTCCCCACCCCACCTCCCTGCTCTTGGCGCCCTCATGGTCTCGCTACCTCCTTGACCCACCACCTCCCGGCCGCATCCCACCTTCCCTCTTGGCTACTGTAATTGTAAATAGCAACCTTTGGAAAACGTTAGCGGTGTAACAGTCCAGGAAACTGTTTTTTTTGTTGTTGTTGTACTGATATGAAATGAGATTCTATTTTTGTCAAAGTATATTGTAATAATAATGACTCAAACGGCCCGTACTGTACAGATGAGATTCTTCTGCTGTTGTTCTCGCTCCCCCTCCCCTCTCCCCCGAGTCTGCCCCGTCTGCTGCCTCCCCAGTGGGGTGGTGGGCAAGGGGCCAGGGGCAGCCGAAGCATGGGGTCCTGAGACCTCGGGCTGGATCAGAGATCAAACTGGAGGGGACAGGCCCCCAGCCTGCTCTCCACCGACTCCACAGCCACCCCCACCCTAAGGGGCCTGGCCTGGAGTAACAGGGGCAGGTAGCCAGGGGCCCACCACAGTCCTTCACACAAGCAACTCCTCTGCCAAGTGGCCAAGAGGTGCAGCGCTCCCTTGGGGCTTCCTCTCTGTTGGAGAGGAGAGTAGTTAGACAAGGCCCAGTCTCCTGTTAAATGACTGTCTTTGCCCGCTTCTATGGCCCAGCCTCTTGCAGTATTCTGACACTCAGTGCAGGGAAGGAACCAGAAGCAGAGGGGTGTGTGTGACCACACATCTACCTGAGTGTGTTCATGAGGGCACCTAGTACTTGTGTGTCTGAGCGTACCTTTGTATTTATGTATGTGTGTGTCTGGGGGGGGGTGTATGCGTGGGTGTACCTGTGTGTGTCTCTGAGCCCATCTGGGTGGATACGTGAATCCTTGTGTGACTGGAGATCTGAGGGCATCTCTGTGTGTGTGGCTGGGTGTGTGTTTACAAAGGGACAGGTGGCTGTTCTAGCTCCAAGCCCTGGCTTCCCCCTCACTGGCTTCTGACCCTCACTCCCTTCCTGCCTGCTCCTTCACCTGCTCTCACCACAGCTCTACAGTTTGTATTGCACTTAGGGGGGTTGGCAGTTGTCCCTCTGCTTCTCCCTAGGCCCTACCTCTCCAGGGCTTCCCTCCAGGAACCTTTGCCCCCACTCTGTTGTCCACTTAGTCCCTCATGCCTTGACACTCAGTTCCCTTTTCTAGAGTGCCCTCTTCCACCAAACCCCGTCCTGCTTTCAGGGTGAAACTCAAGCTCCCCTGCCTCCCTGAGCTTTTTCTTCAGCTGGGCGTGATCCTTCCTCACTCACAGCTTAACCCTCACCTGCTGACCGAGCAGGGACACAGCATGTGCAGCCTTCCCACCTCTCCTGCAAGTTCCTAGAGGGAGTTTGAAGAATTGATGAGACTTGATCAGGGCCTTGAAAGAAGCCAGGGTGTAGTCTTATGCATGCGTGCATTCCCAGAGCCTTGTCCAGTGTCTGGCACATAGTAGGTGCTCAGTAAATGCTGAAGGGGTGAATGGTTGAATGATAGGTGCTCAATAAATGTTGAATGACTGGCCTTCCCTTCTCAGGCTATTCCTACCGTCAGTCTGCCCACCTTTCTAGGCCGGGCTTGGCCACCATCAAACACGGAGGAGGGGTGAGGGTGAGGGCCCCTGCAGTTCACGGTGCAATATTCACCAGTTTTGCCCTCTGCCTCATAATGGCAAACCTGGCTTTTGATTATTACCATGTGTGGATGTGTGTGTGTCCTTTCTTCTCTGTCCCTGGTGACAGGGGGTGGTCTGTGAATGAATATGTGACATTTCTGCAATTCAGTATCCCAAGGTTTCTCTTGGGGGTAGGGGCTCTCGGCCGGCTAGATGAATGGGTCCCTGGGAACCCAGAGCTCAAATGGGGACTTAATTTCTTCCTCTTACAAGCCAAATTTGCCTCCACCCACTCCCTCTGAAGAACTGGGCACTTGCCAAAGTAACCACTGGAGTCGTCCAATACCCCTCCCCTCCCCAGGTTTCCCACAGCTTTCAGGGACAGTGGGCATGAGGACCCCCCCAATGGATCGCACTATCCCCTCCCCCAAACAGTGCACTCAATGCAGCGAGACTGACCCCTGACCCCCACCCATCCCTCCCCACCTTGGACAGGAAGGAAGTAATGCACCTTCTCTTGCTGATTATTTATTTGTTTGGAGAGACAGAAATGATGTAAGTGTATCTAGAAATATCTATATCCTATATATTTTTAACTGACTCTTTGGAATCCCCTGGGGTGGGGTGGGGGGTGACTTTAGGCTTTCATGGAGGGGAGGAGACATGGAGCCTGGGAACTCCTTGTTCTCCCCTCTGCTGCCTCTTCCCACCCCCTGAGCAGTTGGTAGAAGGAGTGGGATTTGTATGGGGGGAGGTGGCTGGAACGTTACATGGAGAATCTTGATTCTCTCCTCTCCCCCATTCAAGTCCCAGAGGAAGGGAGGGGCTGGGGAAGAGGGAGGGAGGGGCAGGCCAGGCCACAGAGGTGCCCCACCCCCAAACCCGACAATCACCCACACTCCTGGGGCTCCTCCTGGGTCCTGGGGCAGGGCGAGTCCAAGTGTGTGGCTGTTGATTTGTTTTCAATATTTCTTTTCGTGCTGTATGGTGATGCTTTCTTAGTATTCTACACAATAAGAAAAGACAAAGTCCTCGAGATTCTTATGAGTTTTGTTTGAAAACTCTTTCACTATATTTGTTGTAAAGAGGTTTACTATTAAAAGAAAAAGAATACACGTTTCTGATACTTCGGCTTGGGTTTGGTTTCTTTGGTGCGGCCGGCCAAGGAGGGGAAGGAAGGACCGGTGTGGCCCTGCCATGGCGAGAGGCTTCACCTTGGCTGGGAAGAATGGTGGTCAACCTGTGGGGGAGGGCACTTCCAGGTGTCTCTGGTGGGATTTTCAGGTGAGAATTTCTTCCAGGTGCTCTGTCAGAAGGAGGCAGCCCTAGGACTAAGAAGGGGTTGTCCAGTTAGAGTCCCAGGAGGGATCCTGGGACATAAGAAAAACAGAAATACCACCCAAGGTCAGGTCGGGAACAGAATGGTGTTCAGTGTGGGGGTGCAGCATGGTAGAGGAACTTTGCTGAAAACCATTCTGCAGCAGAAACTTGCCCAGGCACTATGTTAGGCACATATGGATTCCACCTTCACAGTCAACTGTGAGAAACAGTGGCTTGCCCTTGACCTGCCTTTTGAGTGCTTTAACCATGCCAGGGAACCTCTCCCTGTCCTCCTCACACATCCTGAAGGGCCCCCCACCTGGCACCCTTCATCTGGGCAGGCTGCCCTTACTCCTGCCTCCTCACACCCCGCACAGCTATGCCGTGGGGCCGGTGCAGCGGCTGTGGAGGGAAGTGTACCAGGTGTGGCTCATGCTAGCAGAGTTTGACCACTCCTCTGTACCTAGTCCATGCTAGGTGCTGCAGAAGCAAACACGGAGTGTGAGAGGCTGTATACAACAGCAGAGACAGGCCTACAAATGTCTCAAATCCACGTCACAAGGTTAAGGCTGTGGTTGCTGCATGTGCAGGCTGCTGCAAGAACACATGGGTGTCAGGCAAGTCACGGAATGTGTTCGTGCCTTGGGTTTCCTTATCTGCAAAGTGCAACCACCTGTACTCATCCTGCCTCCCTCACGAGGTCATTGCAGACTTCACCTCACTTCTTCAGTAGGGGCAGAGAAGAACAATGAGCTGAGCAGGAAGGGATCAAGAAGATACTGTTCTCCAGATGAGGCTCCCCTGTGGCTACCTGCTCCCCTGTAGCAGCTTCCAAGATGGTCTCCAGTTATCCCTGCCTGGTATTCATGACCTTGTATAGTCCCCTCCCACAATGAATCATGCTTGGTATGTGTGACCAATAAAAAAAGGCAGAAGTGATGGCATGTGACTTCCAAGGCCAAGTCATAGCTTCTCCCTATCTTTCTCTATCATCATGTGTCCTGGCAGAAGCCAGATGTCATGTTGTGGGAAACTGAAGCAGCCCTATGGAGAGGCCCATATGGCAGAGGACTGAGGCCTCCTGCCAGCAGCCATTGAGTGAAGCCATCCTCTCCTCTGTGCTTATAGTTCCTAAGCTTCCCCAAACATTGGTACAGGTAAGAAACCACTGGTATGATGTACGCTGCAGCTCATCCATTCCCATGGAAGAGAGGACCTTTCTCTGAGGTGACCAGAACAGCCTTGACCTAACACCTAAATCCTGAGCAAAGCCTCTTTTCTGTACACCTCCTGTCTGTTCCTCAGACTGTCTGACCTGCCCCTCCTTCTCTATAGGCATTGCTCATGATGTCTTGGGTAGGCATTACTATTGCCCACAAATATTTCATGTTCTCTCTCCTTCCTGTTTTTCCCAGTCCCTGTGTAGTCAAGCGGGGTCATTGGACTAGTTCTGGCCAATGGACTGTACTGGGAAGTAATGTGTGTCCCTTCTGAAGCTCAGCCAGTACCTGATTCTCCAAGTGCTCTTTCCCCATTGTGGGAATTGTGGAAGCACATGTTGAGGTAGAGTGCTACAAGATCTAAGCAGCCTGGAGTGCCAAGCCACCTTAAGGTGTTGTCCAGCACCAGAGTAGACTTTGTGTGAATAGAAAATGTGTGTTGTGTTAAGCAGCAGAGATGTTAGTATTGTGTCTGCAGAATAACCTGCAGACGTGCAGGTTTTCATTCTGACCAATGAACATACATCTCACACTTGGACAGCCTTGAAGCACCATCTACTGTACACCCTTTGTGGTGTGATAAAAAGATCTCTGGACTTGGTATAGTCCAGAACTAATTCAACTCCTAGTTCTGCCACTTACCAGCTGTGTGGCCTTGGGTAGTCACAATCTCCCTGGGCCTCTGTATCTGTAAACAGAGCTAGTAGCTGCATGCTTTCTTTCTAATCCACACCTCACCCTTCTCCAATCCATCATTTCCTCTTTGGCCCAGCTTTGATAACCTTAATACCATATGGTTCTCCACTGCCCACCATATAAAGTCCAAACTCCTTGGCCCAGCTCCGAAGGCCTTCAAAGAGCCAACACAACCCCTTTTCCAGGCTTACTCAATGCCATTCCCTATGCATCCCTTGGACTCTAGGCAGACTAGACAGCCCACTCTATTCCTTGATAGATAGATCCTTTGTAGTTTTGCTCATGCCATCCTTCTGTCCAAAATGCAACAAACATTTATTAAGCACCTTCTCTGTGAAACCCTGTGTTAGGCACTGGAGATATAGAGAGGAAGGAGGCTGCTCCTACTTCTAGGCAACTCACAGTCTAGTGGGGACAAGGGACAAGTGAACCAACAGTTAACACTGGAGTCTGTTAAATGTCACATAGGAAGGATATAAATGCATTTGGGGCACACCCTAATCCAGACTAGTAGACATCAGAGGAGGCTTCCTGCAGGAGGTGTTTGAGCTGGATTTTTTTTTTTTTTTTCTTCTTGTGGGGGGCGGCTGGCCAGTACATATTATTTTTTAATTCCATTTTTCCAAGAACTTTTTCTTTTGGTGGGGGGGGCTGGTGGGCAAGGGGATCTGAACCCTTGACCTTGGTGTTAATAGCACTGCGGTCTAACCAACTGACCTAACTAGCCAGCTCTGAGCTGGATTTTGAAGACATGTAGGAGTTGCCTGGGTAAATGAGGGAAGGCATTCCTTATAGCGAGAATAGCATGTAAGGTATGGAGAGAGAATGGTGCCTTCAGGAACTCAAACATTGTGGTGCGGGTCAAAGGAATAGCATACAGAGCTGAAGAGGTTGGCAGAGGCCTCATTATGAAGGACCTTGGTGGCCAAGACTTGGACTTCATTCTGCAGATGTTTGGTCAACAAAAGATTTTAAGTAGAGAAGGAGCTTGATTAGATTTGCATTTCAGAAATCTACCAGTAAAAGCTCCCTCTGACAGTAATGGTGAAAATCACTTGGAAGGAATGCAGCATTGGAGGCAAGTGGCCCAGTCAGGATCCTCTACAAATAGAAACCCAAGGAAGGCATGGACAGAAGGATGGAGAGAAGAGGATGAATTTAGTAGATATTTAAGAGGTAGAATACTTACTACTGTTATTTGTCAAAGACATGAAAATGATGTGCTTACCTCGATAAGAAGATGTCTTTGAGCAAAAAACTGCTATTTCTATCTTTGAAACCCTCTGTATCATTTAAGGTTTCACTCCTACAATTTTCACTCCATGACACTTTTCCTGATCTCTCTATCCCCCTTCCTGCTGAGGTGGCTGTGATATCCTCCAATAATGCATCAGGAATCTACCCCTTCCCTTCCTTATAGCATCTACCCCATTCTACCTGGAAATGTAGGTACTAGTTTCTATTAGACTGAACTAGTTCTAACTGAACTAGTTAGTTCTAACTAGACTGAACACCTCTTTTAAAAATGTACTGGTCGGGCCGACCCCGTGGCTCACTCGGGAGAGTGCAGCTGGTGCGCTCACTGGTTGAGCGCGGTGCGGGTGACACCAAGCCAAGGGTTCCAATCCCCTTACCGGTCACAAAAAAAAAAATGCACTGGTTTATCCATTTTTGTGTCTGGCTTAGTGCTTGGCACACAGTATGTTCAGAGAGGCTAAAATGAGATAATGCTTGTGAAAGTGCCCTTTGTAAATTGTGGAGTGCTACAAACTCGATTTTTTTTTTTTTCCTAAAAGATGACCGGTAAGGGGATCTTAACCCTTGACTTGGTGTTGTCAGCACCACGCTCGCCCAGTGAGCAAACCGGCCATCCCTATGTGGGATCTGAACCCGTGGCCTTGGTGTTATCAGCACCGCACTCTCCCGAGTGAGCCACAGGGCCAGCCCCAAACTCGATTTTTTTTAAAAAAATTTTTTAATACTCAAGAGCCTGGTTACTTTTTGCAGTTTCTCCTCTACTTCCCAGATGTCAGGACCAGCTCCTGAAGGAGCACCAGATCGAATAGGGCTAAGGATCTCAGTTTCCTGGACTCAGCTGTGGTAAGAATTAGTAGCTACTGGGTAGAGGTAAGAATTAGTAGCTACTGGGCTCCTACACCTAAAGAGGTGGCTCTCGAGAGGTGGAAAACAAAGGGGTGGTATCTGATTGTTCCAGCCAAGGGGGCCAGGCCAATTCTCTTGTAGCTCATGTTTTTCTGACTCACTCCTCAGTCCCATGGGCTGAGTAACTTTTCCAGCCTTGTGACTGTGGAAACTTGTTTCAGAAAGAGCGGAAGTGGAAGGGACACAGGACGACCCCACCCCAGGCTCCAAAGAGGCTCCTACTTGAGCCACTACAACCCACTTATATCTGTTTGCAATCTTAAGTCATCGAGTGTCACTGCCTGGGCGAGGGGCACGTCCATTCCCCTGCCCTATTTCACAGTTGGTAAAGCCTCCCCCCAGGTTCTTTCCACCACGCCTTGCCTCTGCACTTTCCTGCTAGGTCTAGTTCAGATCACCCTGGGGGCCCAGGATTTAGTGCTTCCAGTTGGATTGATTTACATTCACCTCCCTTTGCTTTGTACCTGCTTCCACGTGTTTACAGCTCTAAGGGCCTAGCTCAGTTTGGTCTCATAAAGTACGGTCCCCACCTTCGCAGAGTGGCCGCCCAGAGTCACTCCTATTTACTGCGCATCAGCCGCCACGTGCCCAATAAAAGCTGGTGACGACGACGCGGGCCGAAGGAGGGAGGGGAAGGACTCCGCCTACGGCCAGGTCGCGCGACCGGCGGCGCCCGGCAGCGCCCGTCCTCGCCTGTGTCACCACCCTCAGTAGAAAGGGGAGGCTGGCGCCGGCTGTGGGCGGAGACGAAGGAGCGATTCCGGGTTCGGAAAGAGAAAATCTCCATCTAAGGCGAAGGGGCAGAAGGGAGGAAAAAGGAAAGCAACGGTCACTTGTTCAGTCTTCTCTACACCGTAAACTCCCATGAGTACAGAGATCACCGTATTCCAAAGAGCCTTGGGCCGTGTTTGGCACACAGGAGGCGCTCAATAAATGGTCGATTGGCAGCTAGCCATCGGACACTGTTCGCAAGCAGCGTCAACCCCGCCGCCCTTTACGCCGGTCCCCTCCCCACTGTGACACGACAAATGAGGCAATGGTTCGGCAGCAGGGCCAATCAACATTCCAAAACCTGCTTCTCTACCGGCTCCTCCACACCGGAATAAGCGGACAAAGATCCCAATCCCCTCCTAGCACCTCCTACCGTTGGGAAGTGGCTGCACAGGCTCACTCCGTTGGCTTTTCCACTGATAGATGGGACCATCAGCCAACCGCAGCCTGGACAAGACGCATGCGTACACAAAAGGTTTTTAAGCCCGTGTATGGGAAAAATCCGAGCTGAGAGAACCAATTTTGGCTGAGTCTCACTAGGGCTCCGAGGAGAAGGCGCGCATGCGTGAGTCTAGCCGTCTACAGCTCCCTGCGCAATTTAGCGGGGAGTCAGCGCCCTCTGTCCTCCTGGCAGTTTTCCCACACCCCTAACCTCTGTCAATGCTACATACGGACCTGGCGCTGCCTGGGAGATCCAGAAGAAAGAGAGGATCTCGGTCCCTGCCCTCAGGGGCGACAGGACCGTCCCCAAACGCAGCCCGCGAGTCACTGGCCTGGGTCTTTGTGCAGAGGTCCCTGTAGGAGCTGAGGGCAAATAGTAGCGTGAACATTGATTGGAGAAGGGGACGCTTCGCAGTTTACAAAGCGCGTTATGACCATCGTCTCAGGAGTTCCTCACAAAAGCCCTCCACGTAGGTTATCAAGTAAGGACGCAGAGGCTCAGGAAGGGCAAGGGACTAGTCCGAGGACTCCGCCAGTCAGAGTAAAACCGGGCCTGGAACCCAGGCTGGCCAACTCCCTATTCAGTGCTCTTTTACCATAATAAGCTGCCTCCCTGCTCTCAGGGAGCTTGTGTCTAGTTGGGGGTGATGTCACTTAAGATAAAGGAAAAGCAAAGGCACAGTTTACGTCCTTTTTTTTTTTTTTTTTTTTTTAATAAACAATGAGTGCAAGAGGTGTTCCGAAGAGGGAACGAGCTCTCTGCTCTTGTGATCTGAGGAGGTAACATGAGGGAGATGAGGCTTGGAAGATGGTACAAAGTACATGATTGGAGTGGATAAATCTTAGGAACATAATATTGAATGAAAAAAGAAATCCCAGGACATTGCAAACGTTCGAAACCACTTTTATAAAGTTCAAAAACAAGCAAAATTAATATATTAAGTATATTTGATAAAACTTTTTTTTTTTTCTTTTAACCGAACCCGTGGCCTTGGTGTTATCAGCAGCGCACTCTACCGAGTGAGCCACGGGCCGGCCTATTGATAAAACTTTTGAAAAGGCAAAGTGATAAAATAAATTGGTTATCTTGGAGAGAGATTGGGAATGGGATGATGTATTAGTCTATTTTCTGTTGCTTTTAACAGAATACTTGAAACTGGATAATTTATAAAGGAATGAATTTTATCTCTTACAGTATTGGAGTCTGGGAGTCCAAGGTCCAGGGAACACATCTGGTGAGGACCTTCTTCTTGTGGGGACCCATGGCAATGCAAAATACACATGGCAAGGATGACCAGAAGTTTTTTCATGTGCTCTCCTTATAAAGCCACCAGTCCACACCCATGACAACCCATTAAACCATTCACAAGGGCATAGTCCTTATGATCTAATCACCTCTTGAAGGCCCCACCTTTCAATACTGCCATAGTCTGATTTCCCACTCTCTTAACACTGTTACATTGGGATCAAGCTTCAATGAGTTTTGTGGGGATGTTCAATCCATAGCAGATGGGAAAGAACACACAGATGGGTGCCATTGGAAATGTTCTAGTTATTGGGTTAAATGGTAGATTTATGGGTATTCATTTTTTTATGTATATAACACATATATAAATTATTCTTTTGTATGTGTAAAATATAATTTAAAAGATGATAATGGAATCTCCCCCCTCAATACATTACATAGTCGGAGAGAAGAGGAAAGCCTTATGTATATTGCACTTGGTTTACAGAACATTTCTATGCATGACATTTCTATCAGGTGATCCTCACAACAAGCTTTAAAGATAGATATTATTATCTCCATGTCTCCATGTTTGAGATGAAGAAACGCAGCTGAAAGTCAGTTAAGGCCAATGGGGATCCTGTGCAGCTAAATCTCCACTATGCCAAGCACTGTTTCTGCCACCGAGAACAGTCAGTAAACGTGTGGAGTGGGTGAGTGACTGAACATTCTAATTACCTGGGTGTTGTAGTGGATTGAATTATGTCCGCCCAAAACTCACTGAGGCTTGAATTGTCTTCCAAGTTTTATGTATTAGAAACTTAGTCCCCTTAGGGGCCAGCACGTGGCTCACTTGGGAGAGTGTGGTGCTGATTACACCAAGGCCAAGGGTTCGGATCCCTATATAGGGATGGTGAGATAGCTCACTTGAGAGAACGTGGTGCTGACAATACCAAGTCAAGAGTTAAGGTCCCCTTACCCGTCATCTTTTAAAAAAAAAGAAGGAAACTTAGTCCCCACTGTGACTGTTAAGAAGGTGGGAAATCCTATTATGGTAATTGAAAGGTGGAGCCTTAAAGAGGTGATTGGATTGTAGGACCTTGCAGTAGTGAATGGAATAAACATGGTGGTTAGGGGTGTGGTTCTGAGGGCTTTAAAAGAAGAAGAGAGTCTGTCTTTCTCTGTGTGTGTTCTCTGCTTCCACCATCTTGCAATGAGAGACCCCTGGGTCACTGTCACCACCACCAGGTGGACTTTGGGCTTCCCAGCGTCAGAAACTGTAAGCAATAATTTCATTTTCTTTATAAATAACCCAGTTTCAGGTATTTTGTTATAAGCAACAAAAATGGACTAATACAGGTGTCTACTAGTGACACAAGCTGCCTCTGAAAGTAGTGAGTATCCTGCACAGCAGGTGGCTGACCATTGTCAGGATCAGGAGTATGATCACAGAATCAGTTCTCTCTCTGGGTAAAAGTTGGATATAGATAAACTCTAAGATTCTTGTGTGTGAGTATTTGTGTGTGTGTGTGTGTATGTGTGTGTGTGTGTGTGTGTGGCTGGCAGGTATAGGGATCTGAACCTGTGACCTTGGTGTTATAAGGCTGCACTCTAACCAACTGAGCTAAATGTCCACCCCTAAGATTCTTTTCAAAACTAAGGCTCTATGAGTCTATCAGAGGCTGATGGCAAAATCATATTAAGATACTAAGGCTAGGGCCAGCCCGTGGCTCACTCGGGAGAGTGTGGTGCTGATAATACCAAGGCCATGGGTGCGGATCCTATATAGGGATGGCCAGTTGGCTCACTTGGGAGAGCGTGGTGCTGACAACACCAAGTCAAGGGTTAAGATCCCCTTACCGGTCATCTTTAATATA